TTTTTTTTTGTGTGCCGGTGTAATTGATCGCGCGGAAGATATAACTGAAGCAAATAAAATAGGCGATCGATTTGAAATCGAAACATTGTTGATTCGAAATTCTCGAACTATTCGATTTCGAATCTGACAGATTCGAAAACAAACTCGAATCGAATCCACTGTGATTCGACTCGAATTCGAACTATTCGCACATCTCTATGCAAATGTCGTGAAAAATTATAATATTTAAAATAACAATATAAGAAGGCAATGGGAATCAGGTGCGGTTAATGATACGCAGTTTAAATTAAAAAAAAAAAAAAGTTTTACTCTTACATATATTTCAAACGTTTCGACTATATTCTTAGTCATCCTCAGTGAATATAGAATAGTTCGAAGTTACTCGCTTGGTCGTGTGGAAATGTGTGCCAAGCGAGTAACTTCGAACTATTTTACATTCACTGAGGATGACTAAGAATATAGCCGAAACGTTTAAAATATATGTAAAACTCTTTGTTTTTTAAATTTAAACTGTGTATCATATATTAACCACGCCTGATTCCCATTTCTTCTCTTATACTGTTATTCTTAATATCGGGAATATTATAGAAATTTATTATTATAATATTTACCTCTTGATAATTGTCCCTTTGATCCCACTGGCCCTCCGATTTATATTTACTGTCGTTATAACTACTCTCGCGAGAATAATTGTTGTCTGAGGAGTAATGCTTGCTCGGGCTCATATTCTGAGGTCTCTGTGGCCTGTTTTCTTGCCACACGTCAGAAAAATATGCATACGGGTCCTATGTAATAATAATGTGATTTAATTTAATTCTGATTTGCAATTCGCATTCGATTTATTAATTTTCTATGATGTTGTATTACGCAATTACTTACATCACTTTTATTCTGCTGGTAATTCTGTTGATACTGCGACGGGCCTTGCTGAGGCTGATTGTAGGGTCCCTGATTCTGATACGGCGGGTGAGGTTGTGAAAACTGACCGCCGTGAGGAGCTTGTGGTTGGACTTGCTGATTGGAGTCCCATGCAAGTCGAGCTAAATACATTTAAAAGAGGAGCGATTAACGATATCAATCAATTCAATTCGACGTTAATATTTCATTGAAAGAAAGCTTACCGTCGCTCGCAGGTTGAACGGTGCCTCTGAAATGAGGGTTGATTAGAATCTTGTGGCCTGGAGGCAAAGACATGTGTGACACATTGGATACCGACTGTTGCGGTATCGGTGGCATCGTATTATTAAATTGGCTATTGGGTACTTGATCGGGATGGTAACCGGCCCTCGCGTCGTACCCGCCTCGACCCTCGAACTCTCTTGGCTCTTGGAACGGCGGTGGCGGTGGCGGCAGTCTGCTCTCGAAGGGCGGTTGACTAGGCATTTGTGGTACGTTCGGCGGCAGGTTTTGCATAGGTGGCGGACCCTGGGTGGGCTGCTGGCGCGGGAATCCCTGCATAGGCGGCGGCATTGGCAGGTTTCCTCCCGGCGGTGGCAACATATTCGGATTCCCGGGCGGCAACATGTTCGGATTGCCGTGGTGCGAGCCGCCACCTCCACCGCCGCCACCACCACCGCCGCCGCCACCGCCGCCGCCACCGCCCGGATTCCCTTGCAACAAGGGCCCCTGATTACCCGGCATCGGCCGGCTCTCCTGCATGATGCCGACTGGATTTTGGAACGGCGGATGCATCGGCGAGTGATACGGCGGCTGGTGATTGGACGGGCAATTGTAGCCCGGTCCCTGCATGGGACCCCTGGGCCCGTACTCGGGCGGCCTTGAGCCCATCAGCGGTCCCGGACGCGGCGGTCCCAAAGGGCCCTGGAACTGCGGCCCAGGATTGAATTGCGGCCTACTCTCTGCGAATTGCGCCGGCGGCGGCCCTTGCATCGGACCGTTCGGGCCGAAGGGCTGTTGAAAGGGTTGCTGTGGATTAGCTTGTTGGTACATTATCTGCTGATTTTGTACGTTACTTGGTACGCCAAGGAGACACGGCGGTCTGGTTTCTATTAGCGGCGGTCTGCATGCGGGCGGCTGATTTTCAAAACCCGGCCGTGCCATACCAAACCTGCGAAAAAAAGCATTATCTTAGAACGTCTGAATGAGCGAGAAAACGCAAGCAGCGCAGATAAAAAAAAACATCGTTCTCTTTCGTTTTCCTACTTAAGGGTTTATGCCACCCTTGAGGCCTCAAAATGATACTTAAAATTGAGATTTTTTGTGGGTAAATAGATAACTTTATTTAAAAGCTATTTAGAGGATATTGTTGTACATATATAAGAAACTGAAAATTTTTTTTTTATTTTTTTATGTACAAAATGGCGGCGCACTAGCCTACTTGCAAAATCCCTTTTTTCTGTTTTTTCGAATCGATGTACAGGGATTCTAGGCATATGATTTAATTTTGAACAAAACACAAAGAATTTTCATTATCTACATATTAAAGACTACAGAAGTACGTACGGATTTTTTTAAATATTGATTTTTCTCGAAATGGCAGGTATTTTTACAAAAATTCGTATTTTTGTCAATACAAGTCTTTTGTGAAATAGCTGCCATTTTGAGAAAAGTCAATATTTTGAAAAATCCCTACGTACTTCTCTAGTCTTCAATATGTAGATAATGAAAATTCTTTGTGTTTGTTCAAGATCAAACCGTGGAATCCTGTACACCGATAGAAAAAAAAGGGATTCCGCAAGTGTAGACGCCAGTGCACCGCCATTTTGGACATAAGAAAAATAAAAAAATACTTTTTTTTCTTTTGTTTCTTATATATGTACATACATACAATAATGTCCTCTAAGCAGATTTTAAATAAAGTTTATCCATTTATCCACAAAAAATTCCCAAACTTAAGATATTTTAAAAACCTCAGGGAGGTTGCATGACCCCTTAATTATTATTCTTAATAATTAAGACAAGTAATTTCAAAGGTCATTGTTTATTATTAAAACCAAACGTTACCTCGGATTGAAGTTTCCAGAATTTTGTATGTTGAATCTTCCTCCCCTGCTTCCTCTTGTTCCGCGACCCCGTCCTCTTCCTCTGAACGGCATTCTGGATGGCTCCGACGTGAGAACGTTCTCTAAGGTATCCGGAATATCATTGTTCATCTTTGGAGAAATCATCGTGCGTTCATTTTGAAATCTGTTCCGCCTCTCCTTCGCCTCCTCGCAATCGTCGTCTTCCATCCCTTGCCCGTTGCCGACGTACATGCTCCTATGCACGTTCTTCTGCAACTTCTCGCGCAGATCGCCCATGCCGATGTTGTTGACATTAACGCTGTTCGATTCTGAACTCCTGCCGAGCTGAGGCAGTGCCTCGCGCTCGCTTGCGTACTCGGCATTCTCGTCCTGCTCGTAATACGACGTCTGCGCCTCCGGATGTTCCCCGTCTTTATAGAAATCGTTATCGCTACGTTTATCAGTACTGCCTCTACTAAACTCTATATTTTCGTCTTCGGCGTCTAAGTCGTCGAGCGCGTCCGTGACTCCTAAGTCCAGTACATCATCTGTTTCCTCTTCTCCCTTATAGCTATTCTGCTGCTCGGGGGGAATCAAATTGCCAGATATTTGTAATGAAATACGAAATTCTTATCGATATAATGTAGTTATATAAATCTATATATATATATATAAATATATATATCATTATAGCATATCTAAAGTTGTGCGTATGTGGAATAGCTTCCGTTCTCCTTTGAAACATAAACATGTATCGGCATAAATATATATATACATTCGCATGATTCCCGTAACGTGTCTTGTGTTATAATCCCCATCGGCACATGTGTGAAATGTAATTTTCAAATTTCTATCTTTTTAAAAGATTTTCTCTTTTGCCTACAACTACACTCATTAACATACTCAGGAGAGGCATGCCCTTATCTCTAACGGTAATGAAACGGTAAGTCTCATAGAGGAGCGTAACCGATGATTGGCGGCGAGTCCGAGTACGCAGTACGAGTAGCGAAAAATATAACGTGATACGAATGTATGCGGTGTGATGTACTATCGGTAAAAGAAAAACGCGACGATAAATAGTATCGTATAATAATCGAATGTGATGTGTGATCTTTACGTAACAGAATTTTGCTTGTGCTCCTTGTGGAACAAGAACTTGTCTATATCAGCGCAATATAATATAATTCAGCTTAATTCAATATACGTACATGTGCAGCTAGAATTTACTACAGAATTTAAGTTCAATTTGGAAAGTTCACTCTTTCTGAATTTCGAGCATATACGAGTTTCATTAAGTACGTTCGTTTAAAAAAAAAAACGAATTTTTATAAAACTTTAATGTAATATGTCACATAAGCTATAATCGGATATAAGTTATTTTCATTATATTCAATAAAATTTAAGTTAATATATGTTAATTATAACATATATACATACATATATATATATATATATATATATATATATATATGAAATATACGTCGTATATTTTTGATTATTACGTGAAAAAGTTCAGAACATAATATCAGAATCTTATATCTTATTGCATCGATATAACAAAATTATTTCTCGTAGCATCTCTCTTTATCGGATAAGATGAGATACTTAATGCTAAGAATAATCGCGGTACAATTTCGCATTAAAATTGCGGATGGTAACTTTACACAACCACTACGTTGTGGAGATCGCGAAGACAAAATCGATAAGATTAAAATATTGGAATGGCTTAATGTAAAAAATTTATGCCATTATAAAGATTTTTTACATATATATAATGTATGTATTTATTTAGATACAAGTCAATTTTTCTTGTCAATTTTTAGAATTTATAAAATAAAATAAATATTTATTCTCAAAAGAAGGAATTTCTTATGATAAAATATTGACGCTCTCGATAAACTAAAAAAATAAATAACATTTTGCCTTTTATATACAATTATATATTTTATATCCCTTACTTCACATTAAACCATTCAAAGTAACGAACTCTTTTAAGGAGCAAAGCGAAATATATAATCACAGAAATTTACAATTATAGCAATTGGCACGGTATTAAATTGTCTATCATAAATCAACTGTCATTTGAATGGAATTACGAACATTGTAGACTTTTTCAATTATCACTGATACCACGCTTGACATTCTTAATTTACAAAAGTTACAATCGCACAACAGGTAAAATAAATACATATAGCATTGATATTATTAGATCTTAAATATCTTTTAACACAAAAATATTTTAATATGTCTAAAAATATATACAAATTTGCACTATATATGTATGTTGCATTATTTATCAGAAATATTTTAAAACAAATATAAGTATCTCAAGTTAATACATATGTATAAATAACAATGCTCAAAATATAGTAACTTTCGTAATTTTTTGATATGTAACAAAAATTAATGTTATTTATCTCTATTTTATAATATCTAATATTGGAAACGCTTTATCAGCAGCTATTTGTATTTTTCTACCTGTATAATTTTATATAGTTGTCCATTGACACAAATCACATGCTTACACCAAGCATACACATTTTCGATTATTGCAGTGATTTTCACAATTTTCACAAGCATTTATGTATTCGGATGGAAAAGATGATCCGTATTGAACGTAATGAAACACAGTTTTAGTTTAAGTATAAATTTCCGCGTCACATATCCACGTATAGAATATGTTATTTCCGTATAAACGTCCGATATACGTCTATTTATAATTACTGAAAAAAATATCCAGCGACAGATATTATACGGCACACGTGAATACATCTACATTAACAGTTATATATCACGCATGTTTGAAGTTTCAGATTCATCGTATGCAATATATAGGAAGATACATGAAAGAGAATCAAGTTCTTTTTTTCCCTACAATCAAAACGGTTTCCTCAATGTAATTGGCATTGCACCTCTGCATTGCGGTCCCAATTCTATTAACTCATGCACAAAACGCAGTAAAAATGTTTACAGGTAATGATAATTGTACATAAAGTATACATATATAAATTATAAACATATCGATGTCATAAATATTATATAAAATCAAACAGTTTAAGGCTTCGTGATCGACGCCAACGTCTAACTTCGTGTACTGGAATCTCTTATAAGGAACATCAAAAGATAATTTATGGTTGCTGCTTTACTTTAACCCTCTATAACGCTATGTAACTTTGAAGTCGTATATTTATATTTTTTAAAGTCATATTTTTTTTTTTTTTTTTCACCATAACTTTTCACTTTCAGGCGCATTATTTTACCGTTGTCTCATTCTTTGTCGCTATATCGTTATAAATCTACAATAATCTAGAATAATATCGTTTTACATCTAAAAGTCTGTTTACAGTGGTTTTTTTTAACGAAAAAATGAAATAGCTCATTGTCCAATCTTGTTCGATAAGAGAAGACATTGCAAAATACAGGGCTGCGTAAGTTTTTAAAGTAAAATGGTCAAAATGCAATATACATCTCCATTTAACATTTAATTTGAAATGCGAACTGTTTTACGGACTTGCATAGGTACTCAGTAAAATTGTTATACATATCGCACCTTTGTTCAAAAGCAACGCAACTAAAAAAACCATGGATTTCCGAATTATTACCATAAATTAAACATTATCCTATCAGTTTCTCGTACTCCTATTATCGAAAGTAAATTAACTTCAAGGAATGTATTCCACTTAGCGCTCAGAGTGCTTGTATCATTTGTCATTGTTATATAATGAAAACTAATGTTAATCTCTATTTTATAATATCTAATAGTAAAAACTTTATAATTAGCAGCTATCTGTATTTTTCTATCTGTATAATTTTATATAGCTGTCCATTGGCACAAAACACATGCTTACACCAAGCATACATTTTCAATTATTGCAGTGATTTTCACAATGATTTTATCAAATGTTTAACACTTGAACAACAAAAATGTAATGATTCTAAGAAAATTGCGAGCGTCAAGTAAAATGCAACCATAAATCCGTCCATAAATCCTGTGTTAGAAAGACATCAAAATCATCACAACTCAAAGTTTTTTAAAAGAGTGAAACAAAAATGATCAAAAATTACATTTTATATCTTCTTCGATTAGTCAATAATTTTCTGTTAAGTTAAAAAATTTTTCGCCTTTTATAAGCAACTTAATTTTTTCAGTTGCATCACTCTTGAAGCAAGGGTGTGATACGCAAGCATTGCACTCCACCGCGACTTCAAAGTCATAAAAAAAATCACATTTTTTATAATAAAATATTAAAAAATTGAAAATTAATCAACTCATGTCTCAAAATCTATATATCATCAATATATGAATATATATTCGTTAGTTACGTAATTTTTTCTTAAATACACAAAAAAATTGATTATAGAGGGTTAACATTATTCGATTATTGGCAGCGAATAACAATAGTCATAGAAACTACCTTCGACATAAGTTAGCTTAACGAAAGCGGATAAAATCTAGAAATGAGATAATTTCCAAATTAAGGTATCCATCGTATAAAAGGAAACGTAATTGAAAGAGGCGAAGTTATCGGACAGGAGGTAAGGTTTTTTTTTTCATCCGACTGAGGAACAACGGGCGAACGGTATACTTACCCTTTCTAGCTCATAGTCATCTGCTAGGAGAGCTTCCTCCTCGTCGTTACCCAGATCGTACTCCTCATCCCCGAAATCCCCTTCGTCCAGCAAGGTATCGTCACTGAAAGAATCAAGTCGTTCGAGAAAAGCCCTCTTTCACTCGCGCGATCGCGAGAGCGTTTTCACGGGGAAAGGAAAATATCGAATCCCCTGGTCACTCCAAAGTGACAACAACCTACGTCATTGTTGGAAGCGTTCTAACGCGATTCTAACCTGCTCACTTCGAACGGGAATTCGCGGATCGCCGCGAGTCGCAGCGACTGCTTCCTAGTTACGGTTTCAATGGCAAGTTACACGAGTGAGATTCTGAAATGCGGAACAAGAAACGGAAAACACTTACTGCTCTGACATCGTAAGTTACAGCCTCTCGTCAAGACAGAACGGAGTCGTCGCCCGTCGGAGTCAAGGGGTTCGAACCGAGACGTAGCAAGGCAGAGTGCAGACCGAAGCGCGATTAGCGCGAGCCGCGAGGTAGAAAGGAATACGTAAAAAAAAATGGCCGCACAAAGCATCGAACGAAACGGCCATCTTCAATTTACGTCTGATTAATAGGTTTCGCATTGGACCAAATATGGTGGAACGAACCGCCATATTTTGAAATACATGATGAACTTGAGCACCGATGAGATATTATTAAAGACCGACATCCTTACGGGAGTTAGCGTGGCTAGTTTAGTAATTGCTAAAATTTAAGCAATTAGTCAATAATTATAGTCAATAATTATGTAATATTATTTTAATGATTTATTGTTAAATCAATGTTTTTTGACATGTACATACATACATTGTAATTCATTTGTATTATAACTTGCTATAATAGTTAATTTTATTTAAAACTGCATTTTTATAGTTACCATACGAGTTTGATTATCCAGAGAGATGATAAAACAATTGGAAAAAAATGTAATTTTGCGGCAATATATTTGATATTATAGCATTATACATATTCATACTTATTTATAAAGCATTTATACATATAATAAAAATCATGATCTTAATAATGTATTATTTAAATAAATCCCAAATTTATGTCAAAAGTCGATAACATCGACATTCTGCAATTACCTCCGGGCCCGCCGGGCTGGCACGAAAATTTATCCAGGGCTGATGGTCTTTAATAGTATTTTGTCAATGACTCAGCTAAGGTTTAACACATAAAATCCCGTAAGGTCGTAAGACGTAAGCGTAAGAAAATCGACCAATTCCATTTGTGTGGAAGGGTTACAGACAACCTAATACTCAATTGGGATTGTTCGATTTTCTTAGGGGCTTTCTACAATAAGCCGTTAGTCACTACTCATATCATACTAAGTAATTGACCGATTGTAGTCAAATATTTTTCTTACATTCGACTGTGATTGGTCAATTCTTACGATTTACGGCTTACGATCTGACATACGACGTATTGTAGACAGCCCTTTACGCTTACGTCTTACGAGTCTTACGACCTTACGGGATTTTATGTGTGAAAGCCTTAAGGCGATGCTGGAAGGTAAAAATTACCGACACGTTGCACTTGTAAAGATTCCTCCGAAATGACAGTACGGAATTGAAAATCCTTTTACTGTATTAAAATAGACATAAAATGTATTTGGGGGACGAAGGAATTTGTAGTAAAAACAAAAAAAATTATAAAATTATCTTTTTGGGGGTATCATAACTTGTCACTTGACTTAAACATTTCATTTGTGTACAAGTTCTGTAGCTCATATATACAAAATGCTTACGTTCCCCAAATCGGATTACTTGCACGAATAATATAAGACCTTTTGAGCTACGATTGAAAGCCTAGGAAAAAAGAAATCCTTACAACTGCAAATTATGGTAATTCGTACACTTACAGCTAAAGTAAAGACAGTGAACATTGTGTCTAGCAGTAAGTGCCGGAGTTTACAACAAATGGCACTTCAATAAGTTAGATAAGGACATTACACGTGTTTGAGTAAGATAAAAGATATTGTAAGAAATTCATTTTAGAGATACCATTGATACTGAAGAGTCTGTTTTATCGACCTCG